TCCAAAGCCAGTCAGTAATCTGTGTCTATTGAATATACTCATTCAGTCCTCACTTAAGGGATTTTTTTTAGAGAAGATATTTTCTGGTTTCGCAGACCTTGGGATTTCCCCCAAGTCTGTTGATACTTCTCCTCCTGTGTGTAAATGGTGCCGTTTTGGCTATTTAAGGACTGGCAGCTGGAGAACTGAGGGTGCTTTTAGCATAAAGAATGAACCAACAAAGCCCACAAGATGAATTCATTTTTGCTTAACATTCCCAATGACCAGCCAGCCTTATGAATGTGTTTTAATGTTTTGGCATTAAATGATTTTATCCCAAATGTGACTTGATTACCTCATGTACAAGACACAGTCTACAACTTTAACAGAGGAATATTTCCCTTATACTGCATACAAGACCCTGCACAGTACCCCCCCCCCCACCCCCAGTTCGAAAGGCATTAATTGCAAACTGAGCTTTCTTTCACAGTCTAGTAGAAACTAGCTTTCTGGAACTAGGATCTCTACAGACTTTGGTCCATTTAACAAGGTCAGACTGTTTATTCTCGACCAAATTCTTTCCCACTGTAAAAAGGTACTTTTAAATGCCACATTCCACAACCAGTGCCAGTAAGTCACTGAAGCATATTTTCCCACAAGAACTGATACGATGGATGAGCTTCTACTTATTTCAAATTTCTGCCGTTTAAATGACATAAAGATAGCCTGTGTGCTAACAAATGGTTTAAAGCAATATGTCTTTGATGCTTTAAGTTTCAAAAATGTGCATTTGTTAACAGCAGCAATACTATTTAAATGCAATAAATGATCAAACCTTAAGGAAAGGAAGAGACATTTTGATTTCAGACAAGCATTTTTAAGTGTTTCTGAGGCACACATACGTACTTATATCAATTGAAAGGGGGACACACACACAGTTGATCACTCAATAGGGATAGACATAGGAACAAAAACCCAGCTATTAGCATATTGAGTATTTGTGTGTTTTGTTTACTTATTGGAACAAGAGACAAAATGGAAGCAATGAATTAGCAAAACATTCCAGCATCTGCCTTCTTCATGTGCTCAAAACAAAACTGTATCCAAAGTGCAAAAGTCCTTAAGTGGACAATGGTGTTATGTGTTATCCTCTAAGTTGGAATTTTGCAGTATTAAGGCTGCTGATCATAAAAATCTCCCTTACATTCGAAGTATTTTAAAGATATAGCACCTCAGTTCTAAACACAGACAAATCAGAGTGTCTAAATGTCCAGTCACTGGTATCTCAAGCTTCCAGTCTGGATGGTAGATAAACATACAAACACAAACTACATCAGTATTTCTCAACCTGGGAGTTGGGACCCTGGAGGGGAGGGGTTGCCAGAGGGTGTCAGAGTGGCCACCAAAGACCATAAGAAAATACAGTATTTTCTGCCGGTCATGGAAGTTCTGTGTGGGAAATTTGGCCCAATTCTATTGTTGGTGGGGTTCCAGGGGCTCTTTGATTATAGGTGAACTTTAAATCCTAGCAACTACAACTCCCAAATGTCAACTCTATTTTCTCCAAACTCCACCAGTGTTCATATTTGGGCATATTGAGTATTTGTGCCAAGTTTGATCCAGATCCATCATTGTTTGAGTCCACAGTGCTCTCTGGGAGTTGTAGTTAAGGGCAACCTTAACTACAACTCCAAAACTCAAGGTCAATGCCCACCAAACCCTTCCAGTATTTTCTGTTGGTCATGGGAGCTCTGTGTGCCAAGTTTGATACAATTCCATCATTGGTGGAGTTCAGAATTCTCTTTGATTGTAGGTTAACTATAAATTCCAGCAACTACAACTCCCAAATGACAAAATCAAACACCACCCCCAACCCCACCAGTATTCAAATTTGGGTGTATCAGGTATTTGTGTCAAATTTGGTGAAGTGAGGAAAAATACATCCTGCATATTGGATATTTACATTATGATTCCTAACAGTAGCAAAACTACAGTTATGAAGAAGCAATGAAAATAATTTTATGGTTGGGGGTCACCACAATCTATTTGGCTGGAATTACATTTAAAATGTATCTGTTTTCTCTTACATATAAATTCAACTTAAGAACAAACCCACAAAACATATCATGTTTGTAACACAGGGATTGCCTGTATAAGTAATATATTGCAGCAAAGAGATTGCTGACCAGGATATGGATACCATGCTCAAAACCTGCTCCATTTGTTCAGTGTTTGAGAAGGATTCCAATGGTTCAACATTGTTGGACTGTCAATTCTCAGATTTCCTCAGCTTCAGAACTGGCATTCTCTTCAATAACATGTGTCTGTTTATTCTGAGGCTTTCATTCATTTATCAGAGAAAGCATCAAGAGATTCCAGTGACAACAATATGCCCAGAAGGTTCACCTGCCAAAAGAATTCCTTACTATTTGAGAGGTAAGTATCAGAGATAGAATGCTTTGAAGTCTCCGATGGAGTGGGGTAGCCCAGCTCTCTATGTCTCCTTACTGACAAGGCTCCTTACGTTCCATCAGAAGAGCTCCTTTGTTCTGAGAGAATGAGGATGTATCTTGGGAATGAACTGATACTACAAGAAATAGTTCTTTGAGTTTATCTGGCTGTGAGCTATTAGCTTGCTGTAAGAAGTGACACACAGTTCATATGTCAACTGATCATACTGATAGCTCTGATGAGGGACTTTTAACTTAATTGTGTGCGCACGTTAGTACATGAGGTACCCACCTCAGGAGTTTCTTGCAAGGCAAATACAAAATGCAATGGCTTTAATTTCCAAGAAAATGAGATTTAGGTTAAACATAAAGGTTAAACATAATCTTTAGGTTAAACATAATCTTTAAGAGAATTTCAACACGGAAATGTGCTATTAAGAGAAACTCTTATGAAAGTTTTCAGTACAAGTTTAGAGGACTCTTAGCTATACAGTGTTCTGATTTAGGAGAAGAGGTTGGACAAATTGACTTATTAGATCCTTTCCAGTCCTGCAATTATGATTTGTTGAATCACTCATTGTGTTACACAATTCAGTTATTATCAGATCACCAGATCAACACATTCTATTAGAACAAACCATTGGATTCCCATGACAGATTGCGGTCTCCCATAAATTTGAATTATTGTGTTAACATATGGATATATTATACAATTATTTCACATGTGTGTGTACTCCTGGACCTGAATTTGCTTTTTGAGAAGGAAAGTGGCCTGCAGCTAGGAATAGTAAAAGGTAAAGGTTTCCCCCTGACATGAAATCCAGTTGTGTCTATCTCCATTTCTAAGCCGAAGAGCCGGCGTTGTCCATAGACACCTCCAAGTCATGTGGCTGGCATGACTGCATGGCGCGCCTTTACTTTCCCGCTAGAGCAGTATCTATTGATCTACTCATATTTGCATGTTTTCGAACAGCTAGGAATACTTCTTACCAATTGAGTGTCATATATGGCTCTTTCTCCAATTATAAGAACATGTCAAACTCTTGTACAATGTCTAATCTTTATTATTATTATTATTATTATTATTTTATTTCTTAACCTCCTCTCTTCATGGCTTGAGGTGGATTAGAACTCTGTTCCAGATTCCTCACTGCCAGTAGTTTTTTGCCCTCACATGTTAGAAATAGCTAATTTACTTCAAAGTGGGCAAGTGCTTTTCTGACTTGTGATCAGAACGAGATGCAAACAACAGCAAGGAAACTCAATGAGACTTATAATGAACATTTTTGAACAAGTGCTCAACTAATATGGCCATCTAAAGTCTCTCACAAGACCAAAAGGGGTAAAAAGAATATTCCCCCACTGTATTTCACTTTTTTCTACTTCAAAGATATATACCCCTTGATTAGATACACAAGTGGAAACTAAATAAAGCACAACAAACAATTTTTGCATCATACAAAACTGTGGTGCTGCATTTTCTCTTTCTCCTTTATGTGCATACTTTTTACCTCTTGCATGCTAAGCAAAGACATAACCCAGAATATGAGAATTCACTTAGTAATGTTAAATATTACAAATTGGAAAATAATTCATAATCATTTACACTAATAATTCACATTGTGTAATTAGTTAAGTGATTGAATGAATGAATTGTACCAGCAATAGGCCATGACATCAAATAACATACAACCTTTAAAAGTACAATAAGCACTTTCCAATACAGACATTAAAACTTATTCCATATACTGGCTCTTTAAAAATTATAGTAGCAATGACATGATAACAATAACAATAAAAAAATGTCTGATTTGTATAATCCCAAACTATCTCCATTTCCATTTCTAGCCTCCACTGTGGACTTTACTGATTTAGTTCAGATTGTTTGGGCTGCGACTGCAAATGTGGCAACCTTTAATGTTATATTTTTTGAATAGTCCGCTAACAAGTCACAGATAACTGACTGTTGCCATGCTGCCCTGTCTTCCAAAAGGGCTCCCAGAAGATTTTTTTCTAGGGTCATTATACAAAGGGCAATGTAACAGATAGTGTATAAATCCTCTTTTCCCCAACCCACAAATACAAAGGTGTTGGGCATGAGGGATCCCTCGGTATCAGCCTGATGAAATTGTTTGGAAGTGCAGGGCTGTAGATGCTTTTCTAAGCACTGCAGACATTAAGTCTTGAAGATATTGACATTATGTAATTAGTTAAGTGATTGTTAATGAACTTGTTATTCAAAATATCAGTTCCAAAGCAAACCACCAGAGAAAAACCTGGAGGGTGCCACTGTTTACCCTAGCCTGGATTTTTATTTGGTCCCTCATCTGTAGCTCTTTTTCCCTTACCTCCACTCAACCTTACAACAAAATGCTATGCACCTGTTGTCCAAACATCTTGATTATTAAAGGTTAATAAATTGAACTGCTTTTGATGAAACCCAATAATAATATTTCTTGACTTAGAACAGGTGCTTTTCTTTATTTAGAAGTTCAAAGGGAATAGCAAACCAACGTTTATGCAAAGCCAATTATTTGAATTAGACTAAAAAGGAACTAAAAACAAACTTACCACTGAGGTAAGGGCCATTTGAAAACTGTAGATCCGTGCAAGGCCAAAGTCAGCTAATTTTATCTGCCCATTGCTGGTTACTAAAATATTTTGTGGTTTCAGATCACGGTGGACGACTCTATGGGAGTGCAGAAAATCAAGCCCTCGCAGCAGCTGAAACATCATGTCCTAGAGGTAAGTAATCAAGAGTCTTGATGAGAAGGTGAGAAACAATAGTATCCTATTTCTGCATACCATCTATATCTATATCCATATCTATATCTAAGGGTCCTTCCACACAGCCCTATATCCCAGAATCTCAAGGCAGAGAATCCCACAATATCTGCTTTGAACTGGGTTATCTGAGTCCATATTTAGGTAATGTGGGATTTTCTGCCTTGATATTCTGGGATATAGGGCTGTGTGGATGGGCCCCAATCAGTATGTGGGAGGATCTAAGTTCCATAGAATTTACATCCTCACTTACTTCAAAATATTCACATATTATGCCATACCCAGATCCATAGCCACCCCCTCACAGCTTTACTCTATGTTGCCATGATAACATATGGTGCATTTACACTGTAGAATTAATGTAGTTTGAATCACTTTAACTACCATGACACAGTGACATAGATAAGCAAATGTCAGAGGCAGCCTCATATGGAAGGAGACAATTTCTCAAACGGTATATTATAACATACCACTCCCTAATCCGTGACTTCAATTTCCCTATTGTTATGATTTGAAAATCTTGTTATCATCTGCTGCACATGGTGAAAAACACAGCATTTATGGTAGTCAGTATGTAATATTCCAAAGGCCAAAATGTATATATTTGGTCTTAAAATTTTGGATTTTAAGACTAGATTATTTTGTATGCTGCATTTGTAAATCCTTGGCCAAGAGGAACATACTAGGTTGAGAGCTTTTTTTGTATACTGTTTATCACTGGCATGCAGCATTATTTATGTTGGTATTATATCCCACAGTAATTAATCGTAAAGCTTAAGGGAATGTATGTGCAATGGATAGTTTAAAGCTAGGGACTGTGGCGCAGCTGGCTGGGAGTCAGCTGCATTAAGATCACTACTGATCAAAAGGTCATGAGTTTGAAGTCAGCCCGGGTTGGAGTGCGCTTCTAACCAATTTGTGTAGCTTGCTGTCGACCTTTGCAGCCCGAAAGACAGTTGCATCTGTCAAGTAGGAAATTTAGGTACCGCTTATGCGGGGAGGCTAATTTACAAGGCCATAAAAATCTCCAGCAAGCATGCAAAGAATGAGGAAGTATTTCATCAGTGTAACAAATGGACAGTGATGCGACAGCTCGCCTGATGGCAAGAATACCCTCATGAAAAAAGCTGGAATGTTAAATAGCCTCTGTGTATCTGTCTATATATGTTGTGTGTCTATGGCATTGAATGTTTGCCATGTATATGTACATTGCAATCCGCTCGGAGTCCCCTGCGGGGTGAGAAGGGCGGAATATAAATACTGTAAATAAATAAATAAATAAATAAATATATCTATGAAGCAACATTTGCAGCAGATTTCTACAGTAAGAAATACATTTGTGATTATTTTATCATGGCAGAAGTGAGTGTGGATAAACTGAATGTTGTACAAAATCTACTGTTTTTTTTGGTGGGTGCCCACAAAACTATTTACTGGAACTGTACACTGAACCTTTCTTAACTTGCTAAAGGGAAATATGTATTCTCCAAAGACATGCTTGCAAATATTTTAATCTTAATTTTAAACCAGGGAATGCAATAACGACAATGTGTGCTTTACTAAGATCCAGGAATGCCTGAAGTAAGTGTTGCTGAAGAAAATATAAAATTCTAGAGAAATAAATGCAGAACTGTGTTTTATAGGCATGAGACACACCACATGATAGTTTATATCGTCCCTCAACAAATCCAATGATTGTGTATGACTCAAGAAGTAATTAATTCTCAATAAGCTTCGTGGGACAAGCTTCTGAGTCCCAGTTTTTCTTGGGGGAGGAATGCAGGATATAAAGAAAGATAAAAGCATGAGATGATATACACCTTTGGGAGATTCTGGAAGCTATATTCCAAAAATGCAACTCTTCCAAGATCAAGGATTACTGCTAAAGTTCTTGGTTTGGCTCTGTAGAGCAATACTTAGCACCTTCATTAAGGGTTAAAATGTGGCAGATGTTGTGAGTGAGCTTTTCTTAACAGGAAAGACACATGGCTCTGGGAGCCCCGATGTAGGTTCCTCCTTCCTAACAGCTGTTTGTGGACAGCAGCTAATTGTATCCACTTGTTTAACCTCAGGGATAATGTTTGGAGGGGACCAAGTGCCACAAGTACACTTTTTTTTCAACGGTCATTTCCTTTCTAGTGTAACTTGCATGACAGCATGTGACAAGCAGAAATTAATGGGGGCACTGCTGTGCCAATACCTCTTGAATTGCTTTGACGGGGACTGCAGGCTGCCTGCTTAGCCACCCAGCCAAGACCTCACATGAAACATGGCAAGGGGCCCACAGTTCTATTCACTAACAAGACAGCTGGTCAGTGATTAGGAAGCTGAAACAATGCCCCAAGGAGGTGGGGGAAAGCTTTTGCAAGCAGCTTCAGATTCAGAAGATCAAGTTTTCTCAAATAAGAGAATCTTGCCCCCCTCCTCCTTTTTTTTTAGTCTCTACTTCACAGATTAAGGTCGACTAGAATGGAACAAGCTCTTGGCAAACAAGGCATCGCTGATGAACTTGCACCTGACGAGTGAAGAGCATTACACCCCAAGGAAAAACAGCACAACCATTGTCTTAAGACAACCCAGGCAGATATTGAGTGAAACATATGAATTATACAACTACACAAAAACCTTGAATGCCTCTTAAATGCCACCCTGCCCCCAATGAATGTAATTTTGATAGACTGGCCAAAACACATTGTGGTTAATCAAACATTAGCTTTGTTTCTGGGTATATTTGACTTGTTGATTTCAAAAAGGGCACTCATTTTCCCCTATTAGTTCTAGTTTTTGAGATACAGAAGATATGCCATCTACCAGTTGCCATCTCACCCACAGAAAATCATGATGACCATATCTAAGAAACTAGAGCTGATGCAATCCATCCAATGCAATTTTCTGAATCAGTGCCTCAAATAACCCCAAGAACAGGTCTAAATACCAAGACATCAAGATTTTTTTGGTGGGCTGTGTAAGAGGTTCTCAAAATCTATACTAAAAAGCTGACTAAAGCTTAAAGAAAAATCTCATTAAGTTTCCCCAACTGCTAATAAGTCACTAGCTAGGCATGCAACTATAAGGAAGTACACATTCTTAAAGAAAAGGAAGGGGAAGCATGGCCACATCCTTCCCCCTGGGCTCAGGTTTTGGCTAAATGAAACCAAGCTATAAAAGGAGGCTAACGTTTGTCTACAAATACTTAAATATGTTATAGAAAATTCCTCCCTAACTTCATTCCACATATAGATGTAATCTGCAGCCCAGGGGAAGTTTCTCCTTCCCTATCTTTGCTCTCCCAAATCTGAGAAGACACAAAAAGATGAAGGAGGGGAGTGATCATTTCAATAGGCTTAACTATTATTCAGAGTTTTACATATCCATGTGAAGTTTGAGAATGTATGCTATGCGGATATAGGGGTCATACCGTATATCCGAATCTGAACATAGCAGTGAATTAGCATCTCTTGTGTCTACCCCTCACTGGCTAGTAATGTCAATAATTGATCACTATGGCACTAAATAATGGGATCACTATGCAATTAAACATCTCAAATCATATTTATTCAAGTGCTAATACTATATGTCACTTTCATGAAAGTTGGGAATATGACCCTCTTATTTTTACTTCACTGCCCCATCAGAACTCTCAAAGTTTTTTCCTAGTTTTCCTTCAGTGAGGACACAGCTAATGGGCCTCAAATTTTTTATTCTTAACCAATGAACGATGCGCTCTCATTAAGGAACACTACTTTGAAAACACTGTTTTTGGATTATAACTTCCACAGTTCCTTAATCATCATCATCAGTGGTCACTTGTGTCTGAGTAGGATGGCCTTCCAAGCGTTGGGTCTTAATGGTGGATCCATAGGTGACTGTAGAGACTTATACTTGACCCGCATGTCCTTCCACAGTGAGGACATCGGTTTCCAAATGGAAGGTGGTCCCAGTCAGGGTTGGCTTGATATGCCTTCCTTTTGACACATTTTTCCCTTTTGCCCTCCATTTGTACCTCTTCGAATTCCACAGCACTGTTGGTAACAACCTCCAGTTAGAGAACTCAAGGGCCAGAGCTTTCCAGTTCTCAGTGTCTATGTTACAGTTTTTAAGGTTGGCTTTAAGCCTATCTTTAAATCTCTTTTCCTGTCCACCAACATACTGTTTTCGTTTTTCAGTTGGGACTAGAGTAACTGCTTTGGGAGACGGTGATCGGGCATTCGAACAATGTGGCCAGTCCAGCGGAGTTGATGGCATAGGAGCATCGCTTCAGTGCTGGTGGTCTTTGCTTCTTCCAGAATACTGATGTTTATCCGTCTGTTTTCCAAAGAGATTTGCAGGATTTTTCAAAGGCAGAACTGATGGAATTGTTCCAGGAGTTAAGTGTGATGTCTCTAGATAGTCCACGTTTTGCAGGCATATAACAGGGTTGGGGGGATAATTGCTTTATAAATTTATTTATTTATTTACAGTATTTATATTCCGCCCTTCTCATCCCACAGGGGACTCAGGGCAGATGACAATGCACATATACATGGCAAACATTCAATGCCATTCAGATATACAACATATGTAGACAGACACACAAGTATCTTGGTCTCCCTACAAATGTCCTGATCTTCAAACACTATCTGCTTCATTCGGAAGAATGCTGTACTCACAGAGTTCAGACAGTATTGTATTTTAGTGTCAATGTTGATTTTTGTGGAGAGGTGGTTGCCAAGGTAATGGAAATGGTCAACATTTTCTAACTTTATACCATTAAACTGTATTTCCGACATTGCAGATGGCTTGGCTGGTGCCTGCTGGAAGAGCACTTTGGTTTTCTCGATGTTCAGTGAGAAGCCAAGATTTTCATATGCTTCTCAAAGGTGTTTAAAGTGGCTTGTAGGTCTTCTGAATGAGCACAGACCACATTATCATCAGCATGTTGGAGTTCTATAACAAATGTTGCTGTATTCTTGGTT